AAGCTGCATACAAGTGATCTCGGCGACATCAACGGGATCACTTGTACAAAACAAGTGGTGGCTTCCTCCCCGCTGTACATTTAGCTCTGCTTGCCCAAACCAGTGCTAAATGTAGAAAACAACTACCCGCCCGGCACCCGGAACTGCATGTCTCTGGCATCGGGAGATAGAAATGTCCCCTCCCCCCAATGTTAATGTCAGCACTTATCTTAAATGATGTCTCTTAATCCGATCTTCTTCTTCTTTCCTGTCGCTTTCATCTGTCCCTCTGGTGCTGTGGCGGGTCTCCGATCCAGCGCTGACTCCTCTGTCCCTGCAGGCACTTCCTGTCCCACGGTGTCTGCATGCGGGTGCACGCGGGTCCATAGACTCACCTTGCGTCTCTGCTCATCTCCCGTCCGAAAATCCGAACTGCGCATGCGCCCGCCCCAGGTTGCTTTGCTGCCGCCCGAGCAGTTTCGGATTCTTGAAAGGGGAAGTTTAAACCGCTGTTAAAGCGGGTTTTTTTTTTTAAACGTTTTGCATATATCTACTGCTTGCTGGTAGTAGATATATGCAAAAAAAAAAAAAAACGGAGGCTTTAGAAACCCTTTAATTTTACATTTACCAAAACTATGTAATATGAGAAAAATACAGCGAGTCCAGTTGCCGTGACTTATTTTTTACAGATATACCATGGCCTGGATGAATGAGAACCTTCACAGACATATGTAATATGAGGACCTACCTAACCTAATCACTCAACTTCCATCCAATCAGGCCGGCCCATGTACTACATAGTTGTTGGTAGATCTAAAGACAATTGTACAACCAGATCGCAATGTGTGTGGTGAGCTTTTCTAGAGGACTTGCCAACTCAAAATTGGTGAGATTTTATATAAATCTTCTCGATGTATATTCACAGTGTTTTTGTAAAACTTATATAGAGATCTGTTGTTGTTGTTTTTGGCACCTGTAACCCTGTTTTTTATTCCTTCACAGAGGGAACGTCTTCGAAATATCGAGAGAATCTGTTTCCTCCTGAGAAAGGTGATTTATATATTACAGGACAAATTACATAAAGTTCTGTGAAGCTTAACACATGATATTGTCATTGGGAAAGTCACATTTAATCTGCATATAGAAAAAAAAAAAACCTGGTGATCCTGCCATGAAGGTATATGTTCAGGCACTTCCTGTTGTAGAGTGACAACACTCTGTCCCAACCATGACCCTTAGTTCTCACTCTGTCACACGGGCTTCCGAGGGAGACACCAAGTAGTCATATCAGCACCCATTATGTAGGCATGATCCACTGTTGTCACCATCTGGAAACCCAGACTGAGAAATGCCATGTGGCCATCACTGGAGTGCATGTAGATAGGAAGTGGCAGCAAAAAGTCTGAGGAGATCAGCAATACTGAGATACAACAAAAGATAAAAAAAGGTGACCACAGGACTTCATTAAAAAAAAAAAGCAATTGTTTATGATTCACAGTGCTTTAGTAAACTAAATGTCCTGATGTCGGGGCTTACATCTACTTTCAATACTTCTAGTTTAGTGTGATATTCAAGTCACATGATATTAGAATTTAAGGCGCTGATGTATAAATCTTCCACCCGGCGTAGAGATGGGTGAATGCCGTTTGCACTGCATTACCGCCACTAGATGGTGCTACGGACAGTGGCGTATCCAGGGTATGCTACATATGGCGCATGCCCAGGGTGCCACTTGAAGGGGGGGCACCACTCCCTGGGTCAGCGAAAGTTTGCCGACCCATGGAAGCAGCTGACTTTTTTACTCTCCCCACCCCTCCCCCATACACATCTCCCTTTTTTAAATATTAAAACCAGATCAAACACATATACATCGCCCAGCAAAGCAGTTCTTTACATTTTCACCCAAGCACTCAGTCACCATGTTAACAAAATGCTCCAACTCTGTCAGCTCGGCTTCCCTAAACTTCCCGTCCAGTACAATATGACAAGGGGCAGAGTAGTCTCCAGCAGGTGTCCATCTGCCAGCTTGGAGAAGCAGAGAGCAACTTGCCTTGCTGTGCCTGGGTGTCTGGAGACACACACAGCTTACTAGCACACAGAAGGGTGGCTCCATAGGACCCTGCAAAGGAAAGGAGCCACTTTAAAACAGGATATCAGGGCCGGTGCTCAAGGGAGCTAAAACTTTTAAACATCCAGGAGTAGCATTAGCTTAAAAACCTTTTGACTTTAATATAATTTTCAGTGTTTGGTAGATACTGTGAGGAGTTTAACTTGCAGTGTTTGTGGTCGTCCTCCCTAAGCCAAAGCACTTCTATAACCTGCGGGAACTGAGAGGACAAAGAAAAGGGTTTTCCAAGCTGCCCTTTGTTTGTATAACTTCTCTAAGGCCTCATTCACATGAGAATCAGCCAGCACGTACAGCTCCGCGCTGCGTATTACTTGCCCCCTGGGCTAAAAGTTGCCAGTCAGCCCCTGATGAGGCCTTAGAGAAGCTTATCATCTGGAGTTCCCCTTTTAAATGTTGCCCATAAAGCAGTTTAAAACGGTAGAAACAGGTTTTATTGCGCTCATCAATTACACGCGAGAAGTACAAAGCGTCCTCGGAGAGCTGCTGTATTTAAGAAGCCACGAGGACCCAAAGCAATCTTGCATATCCTATCACTCATAACAATAGGGCACGGCGGGAGAGCCGCACGCGGGGCTTCCAGCTGAGGACTCCTCCGCAGGAAACAATGGCTGGAAATTTTCCCAGAAAACACGATTTCCGCCTTGTTACTGTAATGAGAATCCGTTCAAATTCATAAAAAACGCAGAGTGCTGCCTGTGTCACGGCTATATTTCAATTTTAAGTAGACGGCGTATTCAACAGCATGCGAAAAAAGGAAAGATTGCCATATTTCAGGCAATAAAGGGCACAGGTGTGTTAGCAGTAAACACAATAGGGCTCATTCACTAAAGCTACGTGTATGTGTGTGCATATAGTGGTTGCAATCCCTGAAGCTGATCATACACTGATGATCTTGCGCAATGGTGCACTCCTAGTTTTCAGCGTACATTAAGCGTCCAAATAATGCTGCACTTGTGGCTCCTGTTTCCTCTAAAATGCACTATAGACTGCCCAAGTCAACATTTTAAAGTGCACCAAATGAAAAATGACATCTGCCTGTCCCTTGCATTAGCAGAGCAGGTCTTGTTATTTGTAACATTTGTATTTTTCCCATTTCCTATAACAGGGTGACAACGCAGCTTGTTCTGCAGCGAAAGCATGCAGCAGCGTTGTCACCCTTTAGACAAAGTAGTCAGATAGAAACGTAGCTTTAAATGGATTTAAGGGGTGTATTTATCAACAATTTGCAGAGCCATTCACCCTTCGAAAATACAAACAAAGGCATAAACGAATTGGCATACTTTCTTTCCAGGTCAAATGTAATATCAGGTTAATACCACAATATAACCACTAGATGGAGCTGAGCAGCATAGGAAATAATAATTTCTTTCACCTAGGATTGACAATTGTTTCTGATTAGATTAAGGCAAAAAACACACCCTATAAATTAAGAAACTAGATTGCTTTTCTTTCAAGCAGATTTTTTTTCTGCCTGAGCAAAATTCACGAATAAGTGTAAAGTAGGGATGACCTTTCAGTTCGAACCCTGCAGGAAGCTGTCAGTGCTGACCAAATCAGCAGCGTCCAGGGCATTGACCGCCCCCCACAGCTGCATGTAAAGGAAGAGGCAGGATGCTGGTGACATCATTGACCTTCTATAGCCACATGGCCATATTTGGTCAATGCCATTGACCAAATATGGCTATGAATATGCCTATAGAAGGACAATAAAGGTTTGGAAATGCCCCGGCTGCAGCTGATAGGGACGGCACTGACAGCTTCCTTCTAGATTTGGATACATTCATGTTTGGACCAAACTCAGACCTACACGGTCGCCCGTCTCGGGATCGCGCGGTCCTGCACAATGCGCCGGCACGTCTGTGGTGCCATTAGAAAATAATGGCACCCACAGCACGATCGGTGCACACCTAGGCGACTCCCGACCGCGTGGTAGACATGTGCACAAGCAAAAAATTTGTTTCCTTTCGTTTTGATTCGGATTTTGCGTTATTTTGTTTTTTGGAATTCGGATCCGAAAGTCAATTCGGATTCAGACGAAATTCGTTAGCGGTAATCTGTACGAATTTTCATTTCAATTTTGTTTCGTTGTCGTTTCGTTTGTTGCAGTAAAGAGACATTTAAGAGGAAAAAAAAGTATTTTTGTTCTCAAGTGTCACTTTGCTGCAACGAAATTTCGTCCAACAAACGAAACTTCGTACAGACTACCGCTAACAAATTTTGGAATCGGAAATTAGGATTCGTTTGCATTCGTTATATCTGTAATTCGGAATTCGCATACATCCGAATCTCCGAATTTCCGAAATTTCATCCGAATTTCTATTTGGAAAGAAACGAATCGCACATGCCTACCGCGTGTCAATCCTAGGTGTTGCCTAGGTGTGCGCCGGCCCTAAAGCTCATCTGGCAACACTGTGTCACCAGCAGCAGGTGTGTAGAGCGCAGCAAAACTCGCATTAAATAAAACGCATATCACAAAGCACACCACAAATAAAGCAGTTGGATCAGAAGGGAAATGCGCATTGAACCAAATTGATGGTTTCCATGTTGGCAAAATTTTTGCCAACTTCAAAATTGTCAACTCTGCGGCAAAATCACTCATTAGGATAGTGACACGGCAGCTACCACTGCTGCCTTCTTCTTCTTTTTTTTTAAAGGTCTAGGATTGTAATTGTCATGAAAGTGTTAAAGATCGCAGCCATACAGGGAGCTGCAAGTCGCTGACCCAGAACAAACTTACAGATGAGCAGCCCTGACTTCACTGGCTGCCTGCTTGTTCCAGGGCAGAGACCTGTTCCCTGTATAACTGAGATTGTTAACCCCTTCATAGCCACAGTCAGTAATGTTTTAGTGACAGAGCTGTCACATCTCCCCCCCCCCTCCCTGCCTCATGAATTACCTTCCGCACACACCTGTTCTTCCTCCACGGCGCATTAAATAATAATGGTTTGTCAAACACGCTGATGCGTTTTGTGGGCAGATTGTGAAAGGCGCTTTCCATTCCGGCACTTCCACAAATATATTTTCATGAATAAAACATGCACCACCAACTAGGCAGAATTAATTATACTGTGTGCTTGTAATGGGATATTAACATAACGTCTCGTGTTAACTGGATAATTGTGTTCCTGTCGTAATGAGCCATAAACGCGACATTTGAAGCGGGATCGCGACCAAACCTTACCTGGCTCCAGCGACTGTCAGGTATGTCTAATGAAATGGCAATAACGCATGCCAACCAATGCACATTCGTCTTCCCCATGCATCATTGAGGAATTGACGTTCTGTTTGTCTTTTTATGTTCTTACTGTACCATTCAGAGCAGTGGTGGTCATCTCACTTGATATAGGGGCGCTCCAGTCTCGATGTTGAGCCTGATGAAGGGAACCTGCGAGGTCCCCGAAAGTGCATGTTTTTCAACTGGCAATCTGTTCAATAAAATGAACAATTGATTATCCTAAAAGGATTTTGGTGTGCTGGTGACACTCTTATCTACCAAACTTATGTAATAGCGGCACCATCCGCAGTCATTTCAGCACCCATCTCTATCATTGGGGTTTCCGGTAAGGAGTTAGACAAGTTCTTCTCTACAACTCCAGTGCGGCCCCTGACATCACCCAAGGGCTACACATAAAACCCCACACTGAGCGTTTTGTAGCGCGCTTTCCGCTAAAAAATCGCTCAAACATGAAGCTCAGTGTAGCTCTTCCAATGCATTTCAATGGAGCTGTTCATATCTCACAGCTCAACAATGTCGCCTGTAGCCGGGGGCGTATCTGCCACGAGGCAAACAAGGCGTTTGCCTGGAGCGGCAGATTCGCTGAGGGCGGCACCGCGAGGGTTACTGACCTGGATGCGATGACGCGGATGTCGGCCTGGAGTGGACGGTGTGTGCAGATGGCGGGGTCTGAAAGCCCGGGGGAGC